TATATATATATATTGCTCGCATAAAATCCCCGGGGTTTTTTGCTTTGTATGCCGGGGGCGGGACATTCATGTGATTGGTTGTTGGTCGCGGTGCTCGAATAAAATCCCCAAGCTTCAGACACGCCCAGCTCCAAGCTTTTTTTGAAGCTATAGTGTGGACGGGCCGTAATGGTTATTTTACAAACCCTGAGATTAACTCGATATTTGCTTCAAATGTTACTGTCTGCCTGGTTTTGTATTTGTCTAATCAAACAGACACATTCCCAAAGCAGTGATGATAATTCACATTTTCCTTGTTTCTTAAAAGAAATGACTTTTAGCATTTTGACCTTGACGCTTCTGTCACTTTGCTGTCACTCCCTGGGATGTGACCTCCGACCCTTTTGAGTGCTGACCTCCTGCAAAGCTGTCACTCACCTGTAAGTGCGGCCGACATGGATGCATTTTGAGTCGTGCTGACAGGGGTCGAAACCATGGAGACAAGAGTCAACCACCTCGTCACACAGGTCACCTGGTGACAAAAAGAGAAAATAAATGTTTATTTCTTTAGTAATTAAATAAACATAGCTAGTCAATCTAAACCATCACGTGTGGGGGGGTGTTTTAGCTTTTGTTTTATGCAGATTACAGCATCATTCAACAGAAATACAGAACATAGGAAAAAGGATGATAAAAAGAGATGGGAGGAGAGGGCTAGTTTCACATGTTTTCTCTGTCAGCTTTAAATCACAGCGGAAAGAGAGAAAAACAAGGGTGGAAACAGATAATTTATAGATGTGTCTATCTTGTTCAAAGCCTTTCGATAATGTGCAAGTCTTCATACACACACACACACACACACACACACACACACACACACACACACACACACACACACACACACACACACACACAGAGGGAATAGCATTATCAGCTTTTTCTCAGAGCTGATGGAAACGGGGGTTAATAGGCTGTGTAACAGTGGCTGCGGTTTACTAATGTACTCAGAGACACTCACACACACTTGCAGTCTCAAAGGGTGAGAAGGGTTAACAGTGTGTGTAAAAGCAGTAGCTGAAATTGGTCATATGAAGGAAGAGGGGATTGAGAAAGGTCAGGCCCATTTCCATCCTTCTCTGTCTGCTTTAATCTAATCGTGTTGCCTGACTCCCACCCTGTCTGTCTCCATCACTCTCCTCTCAAGTCGCTTTGGATGCTAGTCCTTCTGAGCAACAGTGCACTTCTGCATCTGCTGGAAACCTCAATTGAGATCTTAAAGCAACAGCAATGGTACAAGAAGCTTCATTGGCAAGCTTGTTTACACTTTGAAGACTCAGTTAAAGAAGCCAACATAAATGTATTAATGTAAAATAAACAGCTAGGCAATGGATGAGGTGGTTTCAGAAGATGATACACATGTTGGGACACATTTATGCATTGGCCTTTCATTTCGTGCCCACTGTTTGTTTTGTACAGTGCTTGTGCCATTAAGCAATAGATAGATTACCATTTTAATTTGCTTTAACACAAAATAAAACACTTTTGATTCAATATGTTCAAATGCTAGCGAGAAATTGTTTATATGTTGTCACAATTTTGAGGAAGGCATCTCAAAATGTGATGTAATAGTTTGTGTAGCAAGTCAAAAAGTCCACCTCACAACATTGTTGCTCCTTTCCAAAAATGTCAAACACTAATGTCTTTATAGAAAAACGTTTTTTTGCATAGTCTCCATAGGGACGTCTTGACCTTTTGCTCGAGTGCCAGCTTGGAAATGTTAAAATTTGCAAACACAATTTATCTCATTATCTATAAGAATGCAGCACATTTATCCTCATGTCCATTTTTTTCTTTTTGAATTGCAACTCCTGGGTTGTGGAAATGTTATCTCAGCTTTTTAAAAGGTCTTGTGACCTTCATTCCTGATTTTTTTCCTCCTCACCTCTCTGGTGCAAATCGGACGAGACAGTCCTCGTTGCTGAGTTTGGAGAAAGCTGAGCTACTAGCGAGAGACTGTCCTCTTAATGTGACACCTGATGACTAGGCCTCGGTTCACTGAGCTCAGTGGAGCCAAAGGAACCAGCTGCGTGTATGTGTGTGTGTGTGTGTGTGTGTGTGTGTGTGTGTGTGTGTGTGTGTGTGTGTGTGTGTGTGTGTGTGTGTGTGTGTGTGTGTGTGTGTTTGTGTGTGTTGTTAGTACTTATTGTATATGTATGTACTAGTACGT